GACACGCTGTCGTGTTCGTTGTTAGGTGAAGGGTATTTCTAATAGACCATTACCTGCGCCGAAATCACAGTTTTGCCAAAAGAATTTTTTCCGTGGTTTACAAAGGAGACCATTACTATTCTTCCTCTAACCGAATAATACGATCACAGCCAAGTCATAATGTCGAATAATCGAAATGACGTACTAAACTTTGGCTGCCAGTCCATATTGATAAGCAGGGACGAACTGAGTCTGCTACTTGGTTAACACAAAATAGATAATTTTGCAAACGTTAGCATGGCCGCCGGCTGTGGAGTTTGACGGCACCCATCACACTCCCCTGATCCACAATCAGCGGATTGGTACCTTTTCCCCCAGTAAGCTTTGCAGCAAGACTAAATACACCATCCATCCGATATTTATGCTTACATGATTGTTACTTACTTTCATTAGGTACCCCTCTGCATTTGGTCACCAACCGCAGAAGGGGTTCTTTCCACAGTACGTTTCCCATATTAATTTCCTTGGAATGTAATTGTTCAGCAAACATCTGGGTATCTACCCTACAATGATTTATTTGACAGTATGTTCGCCATACTTATTTGTTTGATAGCACAGCATGCTCTGAGGCCACTGAAAAAAGAAAGCATAATACCCTTATACACCAATGTGATGAGGATTTACTTAGTTCAGTGTATTTAAGAGTAACATATATGGTCTTTAAAACGTTATTGAAAAAGAAACAATATTTTGAAATACATATGCTCCTAGAAAGAAGAGAGTAAGTTATTTGCCAATACAAGCGAACATCCGTGTCCCAGGAATCAATTGAGAAGAAGAAGACTCGATCGCCGGGACAATATGTTTATTCGCCTGACGTTTCGGCATCCGCGCGGATATCGAAACGTCAGGTGAATAAACATATTGTCCCAGCGATCGAGTCTTTTTCTTCTCAAGAGTAAGTTATTCATTTTGAAAGAGAAAGTTTTATAAAATTGGGAATTAAAGCAGTCATCCCAAAGGATCGATGGTGACGTAAAATGAATATATATTATCGTTATTTGCAGGTATGAATAAAGCGTGGATTGCCTATAACAGTGCTTTCCTTACCACTTGAACGGTATCTTTCAAGTAAATATACACTTACTTTACGTTTGAATGCCGCTGTCGTGTCTGCCGTTATAACGCCCGTTCCAGACGCCGACAACTCGCTGAAGAAATGAGTACGAACTTCTAGGGTGGTTGTACTTCAGTCTAACTCTTATTTCGGCAGGACTGACTTTAGAGCTCTTTTTTGCCTTTGACTTATAACAATAACCTACTTTTAAATTTTCAGTAACCTGAATTTCCCTTTCTTTCGTTAAATTCCACCAGTAGAAGGTCGAATTTCCATTTTCATTAAATTCCGTCAAGATAAGGTCGAGTTACCCTCAATTGGCATCCGTACTCTGCGCAACGGGAGTTTATGTTGATATAGTTTTATTCTATTTAGTTTATTGAAACAAATATAATCTTATTTTACTTCATATTTTTTATCCCTTCCGCCACAATTAAATATACATTTACGCTCACCAACCAAGAATTAGATGTTTGACCGTAAAATACGTTAGGCTGTTGGGCGGGGAGAATAGCCATTTAGAGGGCCCTACAGGTCAGTTTTGCCCTTTTTTCCTCAAGGTAAAATATTTCGGTCGTAATTGATCTACTTGTCTGTTATTAATTTTGAAATGAAGAATTCCGTTTCTATAAGGTTGTTCAAGCCAGCAGAGCATACTTCAATCAAACAACTAACGTCTTTGTAAACATGTTACGTTTACCAACTAGCAAGTGCTAAATTTTATGTGCACCAATCTTATGCCTTCTATAGTTTTAATACGAAGATTAACATGGGAAGTAGTAATCTAATGTTACTTAGCGCGGAGTTTTCTACGAACTATTAATAAAACACGAAAAGGCTGGATTTTAGCTTTTCTCTAGCGTTCTTTTGACCTCGACAGTCCCGTCTCTATTTCCCTATTTCTTCCACTGAAGACCCACACTACTTTTTCTGTCTTCACAGAACCAACCTCTCCTGCCTGGTGACGCTGGACTGGGGCGCAGTGAGTTCCTTGTCCAAGAAGCCCACAGCGAATGATGAGTGGGATGATGCCTCTGGCACTAATCGCCTGGACGCGGACAAATTAAAGGCCTCCGCCTTTGTGCTGGCGCCAGGCAGTAGGCATGTGGTGGTCGGCTTCGAGGTAAGATCACACCACGCCGCACTCCAACTAACGTGACTTCGACAACTTCATTACTTTTTGCATACGGACCAACTAGATGATGTTTTTGTTTATATATTTATCTTTATTGCTACCGGCTTTTGAACACATTAACAGTACTACTCTCGTCGTTCTGCCATAACTGCAAAACCTTTGCCAACTATTACAACTAACCACATTTGTCCTACTGGGCCACTTTCCGCCGCATTCTCATATATATTTTCTTTCCTGCAGACAGTGGTACACCGAGTACTAGGGATAGTTACTTGTACTATAGTAAGCGTTTTTACTACTAATACCCTTAATAATATTGCTACTATTATCTTAAGTAATTGAAAATTGTGCCATTTTCACCGTCTCCTATAATGTTTTAATCGATTTTGTGGCTACTGACACTTATACGATTGGAATTAATACTTCCGCTGATCATAACACTACACATGCAGTCATTTATTGTAAATGATCTCTCTTAAATAAAAATAACTACAGGTTCATCATGAGCATCTTAGCATTCGCTGCAATGTTGTGTTCCTGTTATCAAACTGATGTACAATGGCTCTATTTTTTACTGCATGCAACTTATGCCACGCACTCTGCCTCTTTGTTTCAGTCTCCCCTGTAAGGCGCGGAAATAGAAATGCCCACCATGATACAAGTGGCCTTGCGAAAACTTCTAGGAACGGTGCCTATTCTCGTGTCCTCACATCAACCCTGGTCTTAGCCCTAACCTTAATTTTCCTGGAGTTTAGCACAAGGCCACCTGTATCACAGAG